TATTAAAATTAGTGGACAACTAGGTTATTTACCCAATCACTTTTGAAATTTTCAGATTCACGTGATTATAGAAATTGTTTAACTATAATTTAAAACAAGTTATAAAATTTTTATGGTACCTAAATAAATATTTGTTGGTCAATTACGGGATTGTGGGGAACTTAAAATATTCGTTTAATTCATCTTGCTACTTAGATCTTGATGATATTACACTCCTTTTTAAATGAAGAGACTAAGCTCTTCTAATCTTTAAGTGGGTTTGCTAAGAAATCAGTGCCCAAAGCGTTGCAAATTACCAACTAATTTTTATGCTTTGGTTAACATTTTTTATATTATGTATTATTATATAATATATATTATATATTATATTAACATTCCATATATGTTCTATATATATTCTATACAAAACCACATATATTTTATTTAAATTTTACATATATTCTTTATATATTTTATTTATATTCTATATATTTCACATATTATCTATATATATTTCATTAATATTCTATATATATTTCATAAATTTTCTATATATATTTTACATATATTCTGCTTATATTTTATATATATATTCTATATATATTCTATATATATATTATATGTATTCTATATATATTTTATATGTACTCTATGTATAATCTATGTATATTCCATATATCTTCTATAAATCCATATAATTATGGATTTATTATATAGAATAGTCAATGAGAAAATTTTTGGTTCGTTCAATTACATATTCGTTAAATTGAGTATTCGTTATATTTCGCGACTACTGTCTGTCTGTTTATATGAAAAAATCTAATTTATTTCAAAAATGTTTGAGCTAAGGCTATTGTTGTTATATCTCTGTATTAAATTTTAAAATAATTATGTATCATTATTTTTTTAATAAATAAATAAATATTTCTCAAATAAATTTAGATTTCAGAAGCAATATTTACGTAAGATTCTTAATTGCACTGGCCAATTATATTATTAGCTCATATAGCAAATATATATTTGCATTTCCATTGTACTTATTATGTATAATAAAACCGTACAGTATAAAACAGTACTGTACGTTTAAAAATTGCACTAAGATAGAATTCGCTCCATATGACCAGTTTTGCTCTTGTATGAGTTTGCATTAGAGGTGGTTCGTTAAGGTCATGTGTTACTGAAAGCATAATTCATATAAAAATAATATGTAATGAATATTAAAGAACTAATATTGACTATAAAATCAAGGAATTACTCACATACGACATAGGAGAACATTATTACACATTACACGCTATGTTCCCTATGTTGTTGATATGCACATGAGTACATAAACTTAGCTTACCACCATCGTACTATATGTGCACGACAAAATAATTGCTTTTAACCATTATCGTTGCCTCGCTACTATCGTTGTTATTAGTCTTAAAAAATAAAAAAACTAAAAAAACTAAATAAATGAAAAAAAAAAAATGTACACAGTCGCCATTGTACATTCGCATACGTGTACACAAAGCCATGTGCACTTCGTTGTCATGCAATGGACAGACCTACAGACGTACAAACGTACAAACGTACAGACGTTCTGACAGGCAAATAAACTTAAGAGCAATTTAAACTTAAGTTGCTGCCACCACAAAAAGTGGCCGGACATGTTCTTATAGATCGCCAATGCTCGCACAGAAGCGAAACCATATACGGCAATGATGAAATGTGTATAGCCAAACATGCTCGTATAAATAACCATGTACGAGTACACTGTACGAGTACATAGATAGCTATTTACATAAAAAGCCGCTGTTGTTCGTACCTCAATCATGTAATTATTTCCTCAAACACTTCGCCACTATCAGCACAACAACAACAACGACAACAAAAAATATTTAATAAAAAACGAAAAACAAAACAAAAAAACGTAGCGTGTTTCCTTTATATTTTGTTTGGTCTTTCATTACAGTTTTTTTTTATTTTTAAAATTTGTTGTGAGCCGCTTGGCAAATAAAAGTAAAACAGAAACACGTCATTTTGTGAGCGCAAACAAGTAACCAAAAAAAAAAAATATATAGAATTGAAAAAAAAAATGAAAGAAAAACATGGGAAAGACACATAAAAAGTTTCGTGTTTTGTTACTTAATTTAATTCAGGTAAATTTTTATCCAAACAGTCCCCCAAAGCATTGGATAAACTCTGGTCACGATAAAAAATTAAGTCTCAACGAAATTGGATGGATTGCTTTAATGGAAATAAGCATTGATTGTTGTGTTTTATTCTGAAAATGGCCAATTTGTGCTTTTTTCATTCGAAAATGGAGCCATTTTATGTGGTTCGCATGTGAACAAAAGATCACTTCGCAAAGGAAATAGAATTAATTCAAATTATGAACAAATACAAATACAAAAAAAAATAAACTCTGAAAACAACTTCATCCTTTATTGTAAGAATTAAAAGAATTATTCATAGTTTGATATTAACCCAAGCTTTGAAGAGTAGAATTTAAATCTAAATATGGATATCAACACAAAATTTCATTGAACTCATTCTAAAAGATTTCAATATTCATTATAGAGACCTATCTAAAGCATAGGCTTGAAAATGCAAACATAAAAGTGACCCCCCCAAAGTGATGTGAAATCGGTTTCCGGGGGGAATAAATCTTTCCGAAGACAGAGAAGAGTAACTGCGAAAGAGTTAGAATTCCTTGTCTCCTATTTATGTAAAGATCATAAGAATTTCAAAAGATTTTGATGTTTATTATTTTGACCTATCTAAAGCATAGGCTTGAAGATGCCTATACTCCTTAAAGTAAAGCGAAAGCGTTTCCGGGTGGCTTCGAAATAGTCGGAACTCATTATGTCTAATTTATGTAAGAATCATAAGAATTTCAAAAAATTTCGATTTTCATTATATAGACCTATCTAAAGCATAAGTTTGAAAATATCAACATAAAAGTGACCTTCCTTGAAGTAATGCGAAAGTGGTTCCCGAGGGAAATAAGTCTCACGGAAGAGGCAGAAGAGTTACTCCGAAAGAGTCAGAACTTTTCGTTTCTTATTTATGTAAGGATCATATGAATTTCAAAAGATTTCGATGTTTACTATATAGACATATTTGAAATGTTACTATTCATCAATATGCTTTTAGTCTTATTAATATAATAACAAATAAAATTTCAAAATATTTGGATGTTCATATTATATACATATCTATCTGAAATATTACTCTTAGTCAAAATTGTTCATCTCTAATCAATGGAATGAAAAACAACAACTTATAAATTTTTTAACGGCCTACTGGTTTTTACTAAATTACATAATCATTGGATTATTATGCTCATAATATAGTTACAATATTTTAAATATTTTGCCTTGATCTGAAATGAAATTTCAAAATATTTGGAGTATTTATATGTGAAACGATTCTGATTGTAAAAAAAATAAACTCATATGACCTTCCAATAATTTAATTTACATGAAATTGATTTCATATTATTAGGTACATAATACTATTTTCTAGGTATTTAATAACTGTTACTGCCAATAAGTATAGTATTTACTGACTACAACTATGGTATACAAACTTTGTCCAAATTCTTATATTCGAATTCAAATACATACGTATTATTTTTGAATTTTTAATTTTTACTACCATTTCTATACATAGGTTAGGTTAGGTTATAACGCCGATCTCTGGTGGATCCACTTAGGCCTATTGGCAGCATATGTAGGAAAAACGCACCTAGAACCTTTAACGAAGCCTAAAATCCTATTTAGTGTTCGGTTTTGTAAATAATCAAGATCCGCAACAAATGTGACTCCTAAAGTGTTGAGTCACTCCGTGCATGAGCTGGGCAAAAACATAGTAGATGAGAGGTACTCACGTCGTCTTTTACACAGCTGCGACAGGTTTGATTGAAAGGGAGAACCAAACTTCTAGCATTTTTCCCTAGTTTATTGTGACCTGTAAATAAACCTACCAAACGACCGATATCTCTACGGGGTGTCTCAATGAGAATTTTGGATTTTCTTTTATCGGAACGTGGCCTTATTACAAATTGTGTACACACAATTTAAAAAATTGTTTTTAGAGGCGAAGGTATTTTTATTATAAAAATGTAAAAATGGAAAAAAAAATTTCATTAAAATCGAAGCTGATCGGGTCAAAAACCAGTCCACTTGTATAAGAATGACCTTTGAACTTTTTATTTTTATTTTTTGCAGTAGGTGGATATCATCGAAAGCCACAGTGTGAGAACTAGTGAAAAAGTCAGAATATATATAGAAATCTCAGTAAAGCTTGACAATGTGAGCGATGGGTTATAAGTACATTTATTATTTTAATTCTACCAAAGATGAGGTTGGGTCAACCTATACTAAACAATTGTGATTTGAGACACAAATCCAATGAGGTATATATAAACAATAAAACAATAAATATATATGTACTGAATGTTGATGTTGTCTTTTATTTTCTTATTTATTCAATTTCATTAACATGAAAATGGTAAATGTTTACAATTTTATATAGTTTCTTATCTGCATAAAACACTTGAAAACATATTTTTTTCTATGCATTTTTTATAGAGAAAAACTTTGGATTAACGGATTAGCATTTCTTGAAATTAATGACCACATAAATCAGAGTTAAAAAACATGTAAATAAAATGGGTTACCATCGAAACAGTTTTTCTTTTCTTTTAAAGTGAAAATATTTTATAAGGATTTACATTTATAAAATTAAGAAAAAATTAATAAAATAAAATAAAGAAAATGGCTGACTAATATTAAAACAAGCTTTCTCACAATAATCTGAAGTGGACCACTACAGAGAAATATTTAAGAAGCTTGCAACTAATTACTTTTTAAATTTTTATTTATTATAAATTATAATCATATTATAAACTATATATATTATTATAATATTTCAAAACAAAATTTTAAGTCAAATTTCTGAATGCAATATATGTACGTAAATAGCCAATTCAAAAAAATTAATTAATGTGAAAAGTTAATTTGTGAACTTACTTATTGAGTTGTCACCTGGAAATAAAAAAAAAATGTACATTAATATATAAATTAAAAAGTTTTTATAAGTTAAGTTTAAAGATTAAATTTCTTATAGATATAATAATGCGTAAACTTAGAATTCTAATTTTAAAAATTTCTTATTTTGGAATACATTTTTAAAACTGTGGTTTTAAAAGAATTAATTTTTCTTGAAAATTTCAAAAACAAAAAGCGAACGTGTAACTTTATCACAGTCCTTTGAGAAACAGACTTATATTTTAAATATTTATACTGTAAATGCTTACTTAATAATTAAATTTCCTAATTGCTTTAATTTTGGTCTTAAAATTTTAAATATAAGTACTATTGAAAAGTACTCTTTTTATATATTTCTAATAAATCCCTTCTAATGAGTGTAGATATTTACACTTTCAATAAAAAGTTGCATATAGAAAAGTGCACAAACAAATTGATTTTCGTAGACTCTCAACAACTTTTTGACATCCAACCCAAAAGTGGAAAATTATTAACCCAAAAGTTTTAAACTATTTTTTTTTTTTTTGATTTTGTAGACACTGCACGTACTGGTCAAATAAGTTTTTCCTGTACTTAAGAAACAAAATATGCGAACTTCTTTCATATGGAAAGGAAGTCAACTTCCAAAGTTTACTTCTTAATAAAGTTGAACGTCATGGCAAATAATAATCTGTTGCAAGTACGAGTATATTTTTGATAGCTTATTTTGAGACCAAAAAAACCGTCTACAAATTTTTTTAATTACTATCTTAATTTTTCAAGTAGATAACTTATATTGTTTAAGTTAATTTCGGAAGTTGCTGAAAACTTAACATTAAAATAGTTATAAATATAAAAAACTTTAAATTATTGGGCCTAGTTACTTAAGAATATCTATTATAATCGTAAATACCACATTATATTAATATTAATTTTGAAGGAACGAATTCGATTGATGAATATTTTGACACAACACTGATGAGAGTTGAAACCAGTCCTTTACGATTATTACAAAATATTTTATTAAAATATTTGATTTGTTTTATAAATTAGATTTGAAGAGAACATTTAAATAATTATGTATTGTCATTGCTACTTAAAATCTTTTTAAGATTGCTACTGAATTACAAACTGCAAACAGGTGCCTAAAATCTGGAAAGTGAATGAGGGACCAATTCGTAGATAAATTCATAGAGTTTCGTATTGTCCACTAAGTACTTGTGTATTAATAAATAATCTTAATAATAAAATTCTACTCTTTTTCAACGATATCGTCCCAAGTGGATCTTTAAAAACTATTACAATGTCGATGTTTACTGACTGACAGATATATATTGGCATTAGATACTCCCAGAGAAATTCAGTGTTTCAACTGCTATTTGATTTCCTTGATGTTGAATTCCTTTCGTATTCTGTAACGTTATAACGATCACTCGTGTTTCTGTTAAACATAGCAAATATTCCTTTTAAGTTGTAAGAGAATAACATTTATGGTCAATTGAAAGCAAATTCTTGGAATTTACATAAATTTTTTTATAACCAGCGAATCAAGTAAAATCGACATTATTAATTCTTATGATATATTTATGACTTCTACACACTCTCGTGTCTATAATGTCTTGTTGACAAATATTCCGCTTCTTCGAATAGAAGTCCTTATAAACTTGAAAATATCCAATTTGAAGAGTAAAGAAAAATCAACGTGGTTTTGAGTGAGTGTCCAAATAGTCCATATAGTCCATAATGCGTTTAAGTCTTGCACAATATTATATCTTTTATTTGAAAAAGTTTACTTTATATTAAAAAAAGTATTTATAATGAAATTTATTGAGCAATACTTTTTAGTTGAGTATATTAAGAAATAAATAAAATTATATTATAAAAACCTTAGAAAATTTTCTTAATTTAATAACTTATTGTTTTAATGACCAAAAAATTTTTTATAATAATTTGGTTTTTTTACGGTCTAATAAGTCAATAGGAAAATAATAAACTTTTTAAGAAAATTTTACTTGTTTTTAAGAGATTTTATTTTTACCGATATTTTAACTTTAATCTACTCTGATCAGGGTAGTACACTGATGATGATGATGACTATAAATTATAGTCGATATTTCGGTTAAAATAAAATCTTTTAATAACAAATAAAAATATTGTAAAGAATTTATTATTTTTCTATTGACCAATTAGTCAGTAACAAAATAAACTTTTTTTATTTAGAATTCCAAGCAACAAATAAAATTATAACAAATTAACTTGAGAACAATTTTTTAAAATGCAATATTTAATAAAAAATATTTTAATTAAAAATTTAATTAAATAACCATTGTTGGATTTCATTTTAAAAAATTATTAGATTGCAAAATATAAATATAAACAACGAAATTTTTGATGTATTTATTCTATATATATAATATTAATATAAATTAATAAATACTAATTTAAAAAAGTATTATTTGCAAAAATTATATTCGAGCTTAATAATAATATAATATATAATATTAATATAAATTAATAAATACTAATTTAAAAAAGTATTATTTGCAAAAATTATATTCGAGCTTAATAATAATTTCGTATAAATTTATTAAATTTCTTATGAACTGTATCTAAACTGTATCTAAACTATATATTTCATTTGAAAATTATTATAAAATGGTTGTTAGTTATTAGTAAATAAGTTTTTTTCGAACAGTAGTGAACTACAACAACAAAAATTTTATTTTTTATATTATTTTTAATTAATTGAATTTTTGGCTGACCATACAGATGTTTCGAGTATTGCAAAATACCCATCATCAGTGGTCTTGGAAATAATTCTTGAATTTAATTATTCGTAAATAAATACTTTTGAGACTGCAAGTACTAGGAATCGAACTCGGGTCCTGCCAAATGTGAAGCTCAGAATCAGCGCACCTTAACCAACTGATCCAAAGCCGTACTTGACTTTTTATTCGCATATTTTTCTGGAAAATGCATTTTCTGATTAAAATTTTTATGAAAATTGCAAAAAATCTTTTCGAACTTAGAATATATCAGAGAATTTAACATTAGAGACGCCTATAAAAAATCTAATAATATTAGACATTATAAAAATTGAGTATTTTATTTAATTTCTTAAAATTACAACGAATTTAAATCAGTTTGTTAACCCGAATATTCAAATTAAAACAAATCTGTGCTCTTCACTTTTTACCAAGAAAATATAAATAAAATAAAATAAAAGTATATATTATTTTGCATTTGTTGGTGTAAAATTTTCAAAACGTGTTACATCAAAATAAATTATTTTGAAACTTTCATGCTTGCAATGTGCACGTAGGTAAGTGTACTTGTGTGGACTTTCGGATGTGTTCCCGTACACCTTTTCTTGTAATAAATATCATTTCCATCTGAGCGTTTGTTATTATACCAGCATTTTGCAATCCTGCCATGGTTGTCGTTACTTTGACTGACAGTAGGTGTGGACACACCACTCATTCATTCTGACAGTTTTCCCACCCACTCTGGCACAGACACAAATTGTAGTTTGTAGTTTGCGTTGTGCCCCTGAAGCATTATTAAATGTTCGTTGCTATTGTTGTTGTTGTTGTTGTTCGTTGCCCGTTGTTGCATGCTCTGCTGTCTTGCGCTCAGCTACGCTAATAGAAAACTTGTGTAGAATAAAGTGGAGAGTGGCGCTAAGGCTCATGTTTTTTTTTGTTTTGTTTCATTTTCCTCTTACAAAGTCATTTTCTGACCATGGCCATTTGAAAGAAAATATATTGAATTGGGAACGAACGTTTTATGGTTTTCCAGTGTATGTGCATTATTCGAAGTTTTTTAAGTTATTCAAATAATTTTCAATTACATTGGCTGAGTTCTTATTTAAACAAAATTAATAATAGCTATTAAAATTATTATTGAACAAATTACAGATTTATGTTGATTAATTATTTTTGCTAGGAGTAAAAGAAACGCTTGCAAAAATGGCAACGTTTTTTTAGTTCAATAATATATACTTAGGTTAAAATATTCTTACTCGACCTATCATCATCTTAATCGACACAAGACTATCACAATCTAAAATCCGTTTAGTGACTTACAACCTAAAACGCTTGAAAGATTGCATAGCACAATCAAAATATATTTGAATTTGAATGAGATTGAATTATCATCTATTGAAGTAAGGAATTCAATCCAACTCAGACTGCAGATACTCTAGAGAAGAGAGAGAAACTGCATACCATGTGCTTGGGGAGTGCCAGGCACTGATATACAAGCGAAAGAAACACCTAGGAGGGTATTTCATGGATAATAAAGATTCAAGACTAGGAAAGGTAGGCTCTATACTGTTTTTCATTAAAGCAATCGAATTTGGAGAAACATTCTAATCCGACTAAGAAGCACAATAGAATTTTTATGTCGCAGTGCAGGATCCCTTCGTTTATAATTATAATAATATCATCTTGGCTTAACCATACCACATATTGGTTTTTAATAATTTTTTGCCACATGAGTTATAATTTTTCTAACAAAATTGATCAGGTTTATTTACCTTTTATGTAGTAAGACCATATTTTTTTGAGTGCACTAATTCCTTTAATTAGAATTGTGTTAAAATTTACAATACATCCTTTTAGAAATTATGTGTTTTATAAGGCACATTTTTTCTCCTTACTAGTACTGCCAACTTAATACCACATATAGTATAGACAAAAGTATATATATATGTATTATATATGAACTAATTTAAATTCAATTATTCCCTAGGACCACTGATGATGAATACTTGGCAACACTTGAAACAGTGTTGTATGGCCAGTCAAACTTCAATAAAATTAAAATTGTTGTTCGAAAATCTTCTAAATAAATAGTGTTGGCATAACATTGGAGATTACTAAGGTACACCAGAAGCCTGATTGAATAGTAACTTCATTAAAATCAATATATTTTTTTTTTATAAATATTTGTATTCATTCCTTTCGATAGGGCTGCATTTAGTACGGTTCCAAATGTGCTCCCAAAGGAGGTAATGA